GCGATGGACTGCAATCTAGTAGCAGCGATGACCTCCAACCTAATAGTGATAACCTCCCACCGATGGCCTCCAACCTAATAGCGATGGACTCCAACCTAGTAGGAGCCATGGCCTCCAACCAAATAGCGATGGACTGCAATCTAGTAGCAGCGATGACCTCCAACCTAATAGTGATAACCTCCCACCGATGGCCTCCAACCTAATAGCGATGGACTCCAATCTAGTAGCGACCTTGTGCGTGGATCAAAAAAATTCGGAACGAAGGGACGCCACTCACAGCGATGCGACGCCAGGCGACCACGACCGCTGACCGACCGACGGCCGCCTCGCCGTACGTTTCGGCTTTTCACCGATTCACGGCGCTCGGATTCCACAAACCATCGACAAAAACCACCCGCCCTCTTCGTGGCGGCGCCCAAACATGCCTTCAGTCTGGTGCCGCTGTCTAAAGCAGGTCCCCCTAAAGCAGCGTTTCTATCCTTTTTCATCGACCTGCACATGAGGATTCTGATCGGTTCCAGGACCCTGACCATCTGACCATCCTCAAGAGGTCCTTCTTAGACAGAGATTTGGACCATCACTCACAAAAATGATCTTCTTGCAACTGTCACAACTTGGGTTGAACCTCTTCGTGTTGCACTGATGGTTGCAAAATTCTCGAAGCTTGACTGGGTATGTTTTGCAATCCTATCATTCACAGGGGCGCCTTTAGAAGAATATTGCTGGCTCCTTTATACCCGTCAGACCACATGTTGCAACGAGATAGTGATGCAGAGGTGTCTTGCTGGTCACAAAGCTCACAAAGCTGAAGGTTCAGCTAGCTAACTGTAGGATGCCCTCAGGAATGCATCACCGGACAATGGGAGAGGTCTTTTAGGTGGTTCTCGAAACCGACTCTATGTAAAAAGGGCCAGATATCTGCAAAACCCACCTCCGCCAAGGCCTAGCACTGCGCTAGGCACACCAGCCCTAGCAGCCGCTTAGCAGCCCACCTGCCCACCTGGGCCAAGCGGCCTGCTTACTTGGAGCTCTTCCAACTCCAACACGTGCACCGGAGGACTGGGAGTCGTGGCTTCTGCCAACTTGGCCACACGCTCCATAGCGCTCCGCTCGGACCAGAGCAGATCGGGTGGCGTTCTTTGTCGCAAACCGAACAATGAGGAAGGATGATGTGGGGGTGTCCCAACAGGATGCACCATCCCTTCGGCGGAAGTGTCAATGACTGGTGCACCATCCTTTCGGTCCGTGGACCGTACGATCTGAGCGCATCTTTTGGGGACACCGAGAAAGAGTTCGTCCCTTGGTCCATCACGGCGACGGAGCGAACCTCTAAGGACACTCTAAGGGAGCTGAAGCGTTTTCCGAACAAATCGAGGGTCACAAAGAATCCAGGACACATAGGGTTTGGAGGGTCCCGACCCATGGAGAGCCCAACAAATTCTTAGGGTAGGAGCAAGGACGCTATTAGGGGCACTCCTGGCCTTACTACTAGTAACTAGTAACAAGGTTTGCTACGAACGGAACAAAGGGCATCGCTACGAACGGAGCAACCGAAATGATCACCAGCCATCGGACCTATCCCAACAAACAGTTTGGCATCTACGGCTACCAGGTTGAGAAACCCGACCAAAGTCGCATTGGTTGAACCGAACACCACCGAGTCACACCACTTCTGTGCCAGGTTGTGACATGTCCAAAACAGCTTGTGGCAATTCCAAAAAATGAACTGATGAGCGTCAGAGGCACGGGCAAAAAGATTCGATTAAAGTTCAATTCACTCGGCTGCCACTTGGAAGCTCACAAAAGTTCTCGGGAAACATGTTGTTCATCATTCTTCTCCACCAAGCAGCACGTGCTACGTTGTTTTTTGCATTGTTAAAAGAACAAAGTTCAGTTGGCCTGCCAACATGTTTTTCTTCCCCAGTTGAAAACTATGTTCTTCCATCAAAGTTTGTGGTCGTCGATAGTTTGTTGACCAAAGAATTGCCAGGTCTTCACCCAGGAAAATACTGAGGCGGTGAAAATGGTCATATGTCCACCAGCACCGAACCCAAGTCCGGTCTCCGACATGGAGGGTTGGGCAGGGCCCAGGTTTCACTTGGTGACCTGGTTGGTCGCCGGTGCTTTTTGCACGGGTGTGGCTGCCAGTCATCGCAAAGAATGCCAAGGTCAGCTAGTGTGGAGATTAAAGATTTCCTGACGACCAAACCCCAAACCAGACCCAAAACCCAAACACCCCCCAACCACCGAGAAACACAAAACAGCAAACCAAACAACTAAAAAAAACCGAACCGAAACGCAGCACAGGTCGAACAGGAAATCTTATAGATCTCTTGGAGGCTTCTCCATGCACTGGAATTCATTCAGTGTGAACGGAGCTGGACGGTGGATGAATTGCTTCGGAAGCAGCCTTCAGATGGCCATAAGCCATCGAATGTCAGCTGACTGATGTCTGAGGGACGGCAAAGTTGGCAGTCAATGACAGAAGCATGTCTCGCGACAGACCTGTAGGCATCAAGGGATGTGCCTGAGCACCAAACCGATGTCATGGTGCTGCTGTCAGATGGTCAGATTGTACACTTGCCAAGTCAACTGAGACTTTCTACAAGGAGGACAACTGACGGCAGCACAAGGCGACGGGAAACAAAGCTACCGAAAAAGCGGCTGCCGAAGCTCTCATTCTTGTAGCAAATCATGCCGGGCGGGGCCCCGAAAAGAGCCTGAAGCATGGAAGAGTACCGTCCAGTTAGCTCATCGAAACTACTTGCCTTTGCCAAGAAACGCGCACCCTCCAACAGCCCAGGTCGGTGAAACATTCTTTTCCCATCACTTTGTGCAAGAAGCCTACCTTTGCACAGAGCAGCTGTTTTTCAACAATGACCAAGGCCACCGTTGGTCTGCAGCTAACCTCAACCGTCTCAACGCAAGGAACACGGCAGTGAAACCAACCACTACATGGCAGGTGCAGGGGAGTGGCTTAGACAGCTTTATCTCGACGCAACGGCGGTTAGACGAAGCCTGGGAAGAAGAGCTGGCAGCTCTTCTGTCCTGCTGTGGATTTTCTGTCGCGCTGCGGCCCCTCTGTTCCGAGAATCAGTTTGGCCGCTCCATGGTTTTGAAGACCTTTCCAGGCATTCTGCGCGTTCTGCCCGCCGGATGCGCTGCGTGCCCGGTGCGTTTTGTTGGCAGCATGCATTCCACGCACTGGCAACAGTGAATGCAGCAGTCACCTGTCAGGTGGGCCCATTCTGTCCACTGTGCATCAGTCACAGTCGTGAAACTGCTGTTTCGTGGAAGACCTTCATGACAGCATCGTGCAAGGTCCACTTGCCCAGTGTTGCCGCCTTGCAGTTCGGTGGCATCAAATGCCACTCCTGCGTCAGTATCATGGCACGAACGGCTCTGTATGGCCATGTCTTGATGGCTGCATGATCATCCGCGATGCCTCCCCAGGTCGGTTTCCATCCGCATTTTCCAGAAGGTGTTGGTAAAAGAGAAAACGACAAAGCCTCTCGCGGGGAGGCAGATTTTTTCCTCGCTGTTGGCGCCAGCTGGATTGCCTTCGCTTGGGACGCTTCAGACTGGAACTTTTGACTCGGCCTGATTTTCGTTCCTGACGGGAACACGGCTTTGTGCAAGCCTGGACTGTAGCATGGATGAAAGCACTCTTGCAGAGCAGGGTGTTGGCATGGTGGCCATGCCCGCTGTTGGGATGTGAGGTTGTGTCTAGAATTGCCTCAGCAAGTCCTTCTTGCACCTTGAATTCAAGATCCACCATTCCTGCAGTGGGAAAAATGTACGTTTACGCGACCTTACCAGTGTAACGTGTTACACGAGGTTGAAGCACGAGCCTACGCGAGGTGGATATGGTATACACAAGTATGTACGTGTAAGTACAAAACACACACACGACAACAAGTGAAAGCAAGAAAGCTGAAAGACACCTTCAAAGGCAGTCCATTTTACGCAAACCGAACGAAAAATTTGTTCACTGTTCTTGGCCTCTTCTATACGGCCCTCTTCTCTTGAGAAGAAAACGGCATCCATATGCCAATGTCCAAAAGTTGGAACTGATCCAACGAACTTCAAATGCAAACATTTCCGTGTCTAGGCTTTACAAAGACAGCTGAAATCAAATGCTTCCAAATGCTCTGCAAAACAAAACATTCAATCGTTCATTGTGCGCTGTGCATTCAAATGTGCGCACTTGGCCGTTCAACTGCATGCGTGCAGATCATGTGATGATGCGCACGACATTCAAAAATGCACTCCTTGGCATGACAACTATGTAGAACCTCCATGCACCGTCTTTTGTTTGCAAGGAACTCCAACCTCCTCCATCAGAGTTGCCCATAAAAGTAGCTGACACACCCTCATGTCTTGATAGTATCTATTATTCACCCTCCGATGAGCCATGTTTGAAGCTTCATTTGCAGAAAAGAAGAGGGATTCTAGAAGCTGATTGTGGCCTCCAAACCCTTGAAATTCTTGCCGGCCAATTTACGTCCCCCGGGAGTAGTAGTAGTAGTAGTAGTGGTAGTAGTAGTAGTAGCTGAAAATCTTCGCGGTATATAGTACTTGCTTCTTATTAAAAGAACATTTTTTCACTTCAAGTCAAAATAGCTAAATCGTTAATTCGTTAAGTTTGATCTTTTAAACTATAATTTTTAATTAAAAATACCAACTTAATTAATTAATGATTTAATGATTTCAACCCGGGAGAACGAAATGCTCAGGAATATGCAGCTCAGCTGGCAACCAAAACAAAAAGGTTTAGAAACCTGACTGGAGGTCTTCCAGCACGTTCTCACTTGGCTTGGGTCACATAGCCTCGTGATTTCATTGCACATCGATTTGCGGCGGTGTCATCAAGGTTGATGACGCACACTTTCCGGTCATCTGCGTGAGCCTGTTGACATAGATGGTCAAAAAAAATGCCAGAAAATGAGAAGTTGCCTTTTGGCTTCCAGCCGACATGTACGGCTCCTCTTTTGAAGCCAAAAAGTAAATTCAAAAAGTGTATCAAAAACAGGTTCACCTTTGGTTTTTTTGTCTCACGCAAAACTGACCTCCAACGTTTGAGGCAAACACCTCTGGATCTCAGACAATGCTGATCTTCTGGCGCACTGTCTCAGTCAATGTCAGGAATATGCAGCTTAGCTGGCGACCAAAACAAAGACCTGAAACGTTTAGAAACCTGGAATGAGATTGCAATTTCCAGACACGAGACTTCTGCACTTGGAGCATTTCGTACTCCCTTAAATCATCCATTAATTAAGTTGGTCTTTTGATTGTAAAAAACAAGATGGAACCCACGAAACCGAATGCAACACGGTCGAAAAACTACATATGTCCAAATGAGACTCTCTTGTGGAACACTCTTCTGGGACACTCTTGCAGGACTGTGGGTCACTCTTGGAGGAAACTCTTGTGGCACTCTTGCAGAACACTCTTGTGGGACACTCTGAAAGGATCTTGTCCCTTGTGGGCACTCTTGCACGACACTTTTGTAGGACACTCTTGCAGGACACTCTTGGGGGACACTCTTGTAAGACACTCTTGTGGGTCACTTGCAAGACACTCTTGTGGGGACACTCTTGTGGTGGGACTCTTGTGGGATGCTCTTGTCGGACTCTTGAGGGACACCTTGTGACACTCTTGAGCGACACCATTGTGGGGGAAATGGAAACTTTTCCTCTTGAACACAAAACCAGTGCATTAGAGATCCTGGACTCCTGTCTTTTTTTTGCGCGAGTGGAGGCGCTGTGTGCGCAGGTCATGCACAAGTCACCTTAGTCGAGTTGAGAAGGAGTTACTAGACAGGTTGCACAGGGCGAACTTGCCTTTTGATGCAATCTGCGTATGGGCAGGAGTGTGTTCCTTCAGTGGTGCACTGCGTAAGGCAAAGTCTGAGCATACTGAACGCGAGAATGAGGTGCTCTGTAGGTTCAGCTGGGTCTATGCAAAGCAGGCACAGCACAACTTGTATCAAAGAATGCGTGTGCGCAAGATCCCAAGTCGTTTAAGTTTATTTGTAAAAGATTTGGAACCTGGCGTTTGTGCAACATTTTGTTTCTTGATTGTTTGAAAGCGACTTGTGGCAGTCGAAAGTTTTGAAAGAGTTCATGTGGAGATACTTGAG